TTCAAACTCCTGGCCTCAAGCAGTCCCCCTGCCTTGGCCTCCCAAAGTGCTGGGATTACAGGAGTGAGCCACTGTGCCTGGCCTGTATGTTTTTTCAATAGGTTTTAGACACAGTGTTGAGGATAAGTTGAATGTGGTAGTTTTTTTTCTCTTTCTCAAACTTCCTGCACCTGAGATAAATTCAATGTGTTTTTATTTTTTATTTGTTTATTTTTTGAGACAGCGTCTCGCTCTGTCTCCCAGGCTGTAGTTCAGTGGTGCTATCTCGGCTCACTGCAACCTCCACCTCCTGAGTTCCAACAGTTCTCCTGCCTCAGCCTCCTGAGTAGCTGGGACTACAGGCGCATGCCAGCATGCCTGGCTAATTTTTGTATTTTTAATAGAGATGGGGCTTCACCATGTTGGTCAGGCTGGTCTCGAACTCCTGATCTTGTGATCGCCTGCCTCAACCTCCCAAAGTGCTGGGATTACAGGCGGGAGCCATTACACCCGGCTTTGGTGTGTTTTTAAAAACCTTGATTTTAAGATGTTATTTGTTTCAGGTCATTACATTAGTGATGTGTATGACATTAAAAAGCAAGCGTGGTTTACTTACAATGACCTGGAGGTATCAAAAATCCAAGAGGCTGCCGTGCAGAGTGATCGAGATCGGAGTGGCTACATCTTCTTTTATATGCACAAGTAAGAAACTTTCCCAAATAATGAGTTTAAAATCACCTGAACTCTTTTCTTTGTTGTTTTGTTTGTTTGTTTGTTTTGTTTTTTGTTTTTTTTCCTTTGAAGATAAAATGTTCCCATCAGTTGATTGGTTGAAAATGTTTGGGTTTTGTTATCTTTGGTTAGGGTCTGTCTCTTGATATTTCCCTGTAAGTCCAGAATATTTTCTCTCATAACTCAGCATTAATTGCTCATTACATAGTAGTATCTAGGTATAGAAGTTTGGATAATTTGTTTTATGATAGAAGATGTCCTGTCATAAATCTTTTTGGTCATCCAGTTTTATCAGCTAGAAGATCTGATTTATATGGATGGGAATTACCTAGCATGTTCATTAAAGCTAACTATTGTCAGTTCCCCTCTATTCTTAAAAATCAGCATTCAAAGGGTTAAGAGCAAATGAGTGAACTGCTTTTTTAATAAAATACAGGCATGAAATGGAATTGTGAAGGCCTTATCTGTATCAATTTTATTTTACTTTTTCTCCTGCCTGTTCTTTGTTTCTACTTACTAAATTTCCTGTTTTATTTTTTGCTTGTTTTATCATAAGGGAGATCTTTGATGAGCTGCTGGAAACAGAAAAGAACTCTCAGTCACTTAGCATGGAAGTGGGGAAGACTACCCGTCAAGCCTCGTGAGGAACAAACTCCTGGGTTGGCAGTGTGCGCTGCATATTCTTACTGCTGCCCACCTCACCTTTCCTCTGCTGAAGGAGAATTTGGAATTCTGCTTGATGCGGGAGCAACAAACAGCTCAGGGCCAAACCAAAAGACAAAAATTGGAGTTACATAGAATGCTCCATGCTATTTTATGGAAACTTTGGTCTCACATCTGTAGCTGATTATCCTCTTTTTCTCCTATAAGAGTGGCACTTCCTTTTGTCTTAGGAATACATGTTGTAAATATATATCTGTGTGTGTGTGTGTGTGTATACACACACACACACACACACACACACAGGATGAATGGAGCCTTAAAGAGTTAGGATGAGCCCCCAGAATATGCCTGCTCAAAATTAATAGCACAGCAGTTTGGAGAAGAAATGAAGGTGTCAAAGAGTCCATTCACCTGAGAAATGTGTGAAGATGTACTTATCAGTTGGCTTTTAACTTTTATGTTCTTTGAGTAGTTTCACTCAAGTCTGTAACCTTTTGTGTGTTTCCTTATTAGTAAAGTTCACTGGAAAGCCAGCTCTTCATGTTACACTAATGACAGTTTGTTCTCTTTGCAAGAGAGGGGCATTACTGTCACCTGACTTGAGGAGCTGTTTTTTTTGTTGTTGTTATATGCAAATTTCATGAATTTGTGATGTCTTTGCTGTTTACATGCAGTCCCAAGAAATGGATTGTTGGTGCTTTGGAATATGTTACAGTCCCACATTTGATATTCCTCATATACTTTGTTCTCTCTAAGGAGATTTCTTCACACAGTATGTTCATCATATATCATCATCATTATTTTGGTGGTAAAGATAGAATCTTTTTTCTTTTTTTGTCATTCTGCCATGGAGCAGCATTACCCTAATGGATTGCAACCAAAAGTTTAAACAGGTAGAAAGATATTTCTCCAATTGGGACTCCCCAGCAGGAATACTTAGGGATAAGGAAGAATGCTAGCATCTCTGTCTCTCAAATATAGGGAGGATTAGAAGAGTGTTCTTCTGATAAAGCTAAAATTCTGGACCACTAAAGCTAAAAGCCCTATTGCAAGTATGAAATTAAGTACTTGAGTTATAGGACAAACCTTGGGCATTTAACCATTTACTGTCTGGCTTTGCCCTTAAAATAGGATTGCAATTAAAATGTGATTGGCTTAGGTAATCCCAAGAACTAAAAAATAACACAGGTGCGTAATATATTTATCTACTTTTTAGGTGCTCTGAGTTGAGGCAAAGTAGAGCGGCAACATTAAGTGCTATGCTAGTCACTTAGCTGACATAACCAGCTTGGTTAAGCAGCTTATGAAACCATATAAAGAATTCTTTTGAGGATGGAATTCTGTCCACAAAATAATTTTGTGAGCCCAGATGTCATTAGGATCACACAGAGTTAAGTGTAGCAAAATGAAACCATCGTTGTATTCTTTCATGATTTTTCTTTTATTATAAACAAGGATTATTCTTTAGTTCTCAGAGGTAGGGACAAACCACATCAGGTTTTCAGAAGGAAAAAACATTTAAAAACCCACCATCACTTGAGAGAATCGCTTGAAACCAGGAGGCAGAAGTTGCAGTGAGCTGAGATCACATCATTGCACTGCAGCCTGGGTGACAGTGAGACTTCATCTCATAAAAAAAAAAAAAAAGAAAAAAAAAACACACACACAAATCATCATCACAGAAGATGCAACATATTTTCTGAAAGATTGCCTTAAGAGAGCTCCAGCCCTACTCTTGGAACTTGGATGTATTCTAATATAGTAACCTATTCTAAGTTTTGATTCTTTGAATTATAAATGGCCTCACCAGTTTTGCTTAACTACTGATAAATGCTTTGCCTCCTACCATCTACCTATATACATTATTGTAATGAATGTTCCAAAATGGTAGAGTGGTAGAAAATGCCAGAGTAGTTTAGAGCAGAGAAAAATATTTGTTTTAAAACTAGCTTTAAAATTTTGTTTCATTTCTACCAGGAGACTCTTTGGTTTGGTTTGATTTTGCTTGGAAATAATTGGTTTTCTTATAAATGAGTGAAGTGGTGATAAAATTCTTTGGCTAGTTATTAGTTATTTTACCTGTCTTTGCATTTGAGAGGCACTGTTAAAAATTATTGGGAAAGATTTAAAGTGCAGGCTGCATTAAAACATGGAGAAAAATAGAAATAATGCCATAAGTCTAGATTGCCTCATGAAGCAGCTTCATTTGAATTGCTTTCATAGCTTTCATATGTGTATGGTTTAGAAGTACACTTACCTCAGAAACCTGATTTGATCTCATGTCTTGGGCAGGAGTTGTTGAAATAGGTTATGGGAATATATAAGTTATCTCACTGCTCATGTACTTGCATGTTTGGGACTCAAATTTTACTTGATGTCTGTCCATTCTTGTGGCCCTGTCAGCCTTCTCCTTCCTTTACTCCTTTAATCTATTTCTTTGACTACCAGTGGAGATTTCAGCTGGACTATGTTGATGGGGCTTGTTGTTTTTTTTTGAGCTGGCTGTATATATTTTAAAATTATAAATAGATAATATATTATTTTTTGCACATTGTTATCAGTTTGCCCAGAATTGGGGATAGGGCAGTTAGCATGTTGGGGCCAGGAAGGGACAAGTTAGATAAGGAGTGAGTGCTTCCGTTGCAGGCAGTTTGCACAATACCTAATTAACCTTCCTATTGAAAATACCAAATGTGTGGTTACATTACTTTAAATGACATTAAATTGGAACTTGATGGCAATTAGTTCTAGATACAGCATTTTGATCTTTGTTGGAATTTTAAGGGAAAAATAAACTAAACTTCATATTTGTTTATTTTAATCCCCTAATAGTACTGAAGGTTGGAAAGTTGCATGTGGCTGGATGCTGTTAATTTCTTTAATAGCCATGACTATAATTTAAGCCTATGAGAAGACAGACTGTTTCATAGGGATATATTCACATGTGTGTGCACACTCAGGAGTTTTGTCTCAGCAGGATAGAATAAGCAAATCCATGAATTGGTCTTTTGTTAATACTTTGATTCTAAAAATTATTTGTTTACTTGCTATGGTCTGTTCATTCTGGGCCTAACTTTAAAGGCTCAATAACAAATACAACAAATGTAAATATGTTTACATTTTAAGACATATGCAGTGGTACTTACAGATCAGTTAATTAACTCCAGAAAGCAAATGTTAGACTACACATTTATTTTTCTCCTTGATCAAGTGTAAAATTCTGAAACAGAGGCTTTAAAATAAAACCTCAGTAAAATAATCCATGAATTTACTGATTCTTCTATATTGTGTATAGTTACCATTATGTAACTATACACATGTACAGCTACAGATATAGTTGTATAATGAAAATTATCTGCAAACACCTAAATTAAAGAGAGAAAAAAAACTAGTTTGTAAACTCATTTGTGGTCTACTGAAAAGAGGTTATATTAAAGCAAATAAAAATATTTTCCTTCTCTGTCCTCTGAAATGATTGCAGTGGATACTCTTAGTTATCCCATTTTGTGGGGGTGGAGGGCCTTTTTAATTTAATTGACCCCCCAAGGTGGTCTTTTGTTTTAAACAGGCAGTGGGGGAGAAAACAGAGCTGGATCTCCAAGTACATGTGGATTTTTAGAAAAATCAACAACCCAACACCAGATGCAAGTCACATAGAACTGTTCCAATAAAATGGATGAATGTCTTTTTCCTCCCCATTTTGCTTTATACTGAGTATTGCACTTTTGCAAGTGTATGCAAAAACTAAATAGACTTCTGCCCTCCTCTTTTTATTGCATTACTTCAAAATTCTAATTTTGTCTCTACTGATATGTCTTATTAACATCTGAAAAATATATATATATTTTATTGGAAAATTCTAGTTTGTTAGGCCTTGAAAGTTTTGTGACAGTTACTTTGCTGTGTTTCACCACAATCATTCACCTTATGGCATGCTTTGATTACTAGACTTCAGGCAGTCTCATTCATTGTATCATACTTACAATAGTAAGTTGTCTCCATGTGTGCTATGTCTGAGGTGTATGGAGTTTTTATTTAAAAAGTGTGCCAGGCTGAATATAAGCATTTGATTTTGTAACATTGGACTTTTCTTAAAAGTATAGAGGTTCAAAGTATAGGTATGTCCATTGGCATAAGAATAGAGAGGGTGAGAGTCTGGACTAGGATCCAGGTTTGTCCAGTCAGACGCCAGAAACTGGTCTTCAAAAATAGTGGGCCTGTGTGAAGAGTGAGACCACGTGTGGGTGTGCACACCTCCTGTCCCCAGGTTTCCCTCCCTTTGAGCTTATCCTTCCCTCCCTAATTTCTCTGGCCTATTGTCATCGTTGTTTCTTTACATTTAAGGAGAGAAAAACAATAATGAGATTCATACACTTTGCCTAATTGAGCCACTACCAGGTTTTCTGGCAGCTGTGGCCACATTATTTGTGAGATGTTTTTTTTTCTTTATGTTCAGAGTGACTTCTGATTCTGATTCTTTATGTTTTGTATGGAGCGGCACTTTTATCTGTGTTTTAGCAGAACTGTTCCTCTGTATCCTTTACGGTTTTTGTTTGTTTTTGTTTCCTTTTTAAATTATGCATAGAGTTTTTTTGTGTGTATAAAATTAAAGCCTTTATTAACCTTCTGTTGATTTGACTGTTATTTCTGAAAAGGACACATTCTTGCTGATACTTATAACAACCTATTCAAAGTTGTGGAAATCACCTTCTGTTGGCTTTCTGACATGGACTTCCTTGCAGCGTTGTTACTTCTTAAAAGGAACAGAATGGCAAACCAGTGTTTGGCTGTAGTCCCCATTGATTATTGTTATTTTCATCTGAGGAGCCTGTGAAGCTTTGTGGAGGCTTCTGGGTAAGTTTGTAAACCTAGCATTGGCCTTCACTAGGCTCTTCCTTTGCCTTATTATTAAGGGTTGGGAGAAGAAGTGAAATAGCATATGCATTTCTTACTTGCCTTTAGGTCTCAAGCCTAGCCCCAGTGGATGTACTGCTCTCACAGTACTGTTTGGTATTTGTGAAACCTCCTAGAGGGTAGTCTTGTGGACCATTCAACTCTCTTTCAACCCTTTAACTTACCCACTGAGTAAGGCAGTAAGGAAAGTAAATGTGAAAAGGAAAAGCTGTTACTCTGGGGAAGATGTAAACCTGCAAAATGCTTCAGCCTACCTGCCATAGATAAAAATGAGTCATGATAGAGGACAAGCTAGGTAGGGTAGTGCCTCAGAACTCTAATGTTCCATGGAGTGTTTGTGCTCTTCTAAGAAGAGAAGACTCTAGAACAGGAGTATTAAAAATGATGCAGTACCTCAGGATAGAAACAATCTAGCGGCCTTCTTAGAAGTTGAAATGAGGACCATAGGCTCCTTTTGGGGAATCATCTTTCTGAAGGAATAAGTACATTATTAAACAAAAGTGGCATTTGCCACAGAAGTTTGTGCTCAGGCACAAACTTTAACTGCAAATTTTCACTTCAATTGGTGTAGGACTGATATCGGTGAGAAAATGAGACCCCACAATCAGGGTAGGGTACTGCTTTACAACCACAGCTCCTCTTCTCAAAATAGTCCTTTTTCTTTCTTCAGGTTTTGTTGCTTCCATCGAGGCAGAGCGGAGAAGGCAGCTGGAGTCATCCCAAAGGCCTGAGTGAAATCTTCAATGGACAGGTGCTCCTAGAAGAGAGGGACCAGAGGGCAAAGGTCACATATCCTTTCCTCCTCCCTTACCCTCAGGTGCCGTTTGCTCTGATGAGTCATATAGATGTGTATAGTCAAATAAATGAAGAGTAAACACAAGCAATGTCAGGAGAGCCAGAAAAGGGATGGAGAGGAGGCGAATATGGTATTTTGGTATTCCAGAGGTTTATCCCTGGAATTTTTTTTTTTTTTTTTTTCCCAGACCGTGTCTTGTTCTGTTGCACAGGCTGGAGTGCAGTGGCACGAACTCAGTTCACTGCAACCTGCAACCTCCACCTCCTTATTTCAAGCGATTCTCCTGCCTCAGCCTCCCAAGTAGCTGAGATTACAGGCATGCGCCACCATGCCCTGCTAACCTTTGTATTTTTAGTAGAGACGGGGTTTTACCATGTTGGCCAAGCTGGTCTCGAACTCCTGACCTCAAGTGATCCACCCTACTCAGCCTCCCAAAGTGCTGGGATTACAGGTGTGAGCCAGCACACCTGGCCTGATCCCTGAATTTTTAACAATGAAAAGATAATAGTGTAGTAGATTGAGATCTTCTTTTTACAAGGGTCAAGTTCACATTAGCCCAAATAAGAATTAGGACTCTTCTTTCCAAGCCTTAGTTTTCCTCTCTATTAAATGGGGAACGTTTCTTTCTTTTTTTTTCTTTTTTTTTTAAAGACAGAGTCTTACTCTGTTCCCCAGGCTAGAAAGCAGTGGCGCACGATCTTGACTCACTGCAACGTCCACCTCCCAGATTCAAGCAATTCTCCTGCCTCAGCCTCCTGAGTAGCTAGGACTACAGGCACCTGGCACCACGCCTGGCTAATTTTTGTATTTTTAGGAGAGATGAGGTTTTGCCTTTTGGCCAGGCTGGTCTCGAACTCCTGGCCTCAAGTGATCCACCCACCTTGACCTCCCAAAGTGCTGGGATTACAGGCATGAGCCACCATGCCTAGCCATTGTTTTTTTGTTTTTGTTTTGTTTTTTGAAACAGCGTCTTGCTCTGTCACACAGGCTGGAGTGCAGTGGCACAATCTCAGCTCACTCTAGCCTCAACCTCCTGGGCTCAAGCAGTCCTCCCATCTCAGCCTCCCGAGTAGCTGGGACCACAGGTTTGCACTACCATGTTGCCCAGGCAGGTCTGGAACCCCTGAGCTCAAGCATCCACCCGCCTTGGCCTCCCAAAGTGCTGGGATTATAAGCGTGAGCCACCAACCCCAGCCAGGAACATTTCTTAAAGGCAAATTTTCACTTGCTTTTATGAAAATGAAAATAATATTACATATGAAAGTGTACTGAAAACAAATTAGGCAGGCATGGTGGCACACACCTGTAATCCCAGCTGCTCTGGAGGCTGAGGCAGGAGAATCGCTTGAACCCAGGAGGCAGAGGTTGCAGTGAACTGAGATCGTGCCACTGCACTTCAACCTGGGCGATAGTTTTCCATCTCACAAACACAAAACAAAGTATGTTGTTCATTTACCTCCACTTAAACAGTGAATCCAAGCTGCCCACAAAGTAAGCAGATGAGCCCTATAAGGGTATCTGCTCTAGTCTGGGTATATGAGATTTTATTAGGGCCAGGTGTGGTGGCTCATGTCTGTAGTTCCAGCACTTTGGGAGGCCAAGTCAGGCAGATTGCTTGAGTTCAGGAGTTCAAGACTAGCCTGGGCAACATGGTAAAACCCTGTCTCTACCAAAAAAATACAAAAATTAGCCAGGTATGGTGGTGCACATCTATAGTCCCAGTTACTCAGGAGGCTGAGGTGGCAGGATTGCTTGAGCCCAGGTGGCAGAGGTTGCAGTAAGCCAAGATAGTACCATTGTATTCCAGCCTGGGTGAAAGAACAAGACCCTGTCTCAAAAAAAAAAACATTTTATTGCTGTCACAGGACATACAACTCTTCTAGCAAAAGCCTGTCACCCTCAGGAGAAGTCTCCCTCCTGGGCCCTACTTTGCTTTGGATCAAGTTAATAGACTGCCTGCAAGGGAAGTAGGACCCACTCCAGCCCTAATGGATGGAGCAAAGTAGGAATCTAGTTTCCATATACTGCTGTGGCACTTACAAAGGATCTGAGGCAGATTTGAATATTCCCATTTTCAGGTGATGCAGTTAAAGTTTAAGAAAGCCAGGCCGGCGCGTTGGCTCACACCTGTAATCCCAACACTTTGGGAGGCCAAGGCAAGTGGATCACGAGGTCAGGAGTTCGAGACCAGCCTGGCCAACATGGTGAAACCCTGTCTCTACTAAAAATACAAAAATTAGCTGGTGGCAGGCGTGGTGGCAGGCACCTGTAATCCCAGCTGCTCCGGAGGCTGAGGCGGGATAATTGCTTAAACCTGGGATGCAGAGGTTGCACTGAATGAGATGGCCCCACTGCACTCCAGCCTGGGCAACAGAGCAAGACTCTGTCTCAAAAAAAAAAAAAAGTCAAGGTCACCTCATTCCAATATATGTTCCACTGCACCATGCTGACTTTCTTCCTTGAGTTTCAGGTATACTGTAAAGCCCTCTTGTCAGCTTTCAACTCCCAGACCTGCAAGGTTAGCTATTAACACTTGCAGCTGGCCACAATTTTACCATTATGGATAGCTTCATCACTCTTGGCTTACAGGTTTGGTTCCCAGTTAAAAGGCAACTTGTTGGCCAGGCGCAGTGGCTCATGCCTGTAATCCCAGCACTTTGGGAGGCCTAGGCGGGTGGATCACCTGAGGTCATGAGTTCGAGACCAGCCTGGCCAACATGGTGAAACCGTGTCTCTACTAAAAATACAAAAAATTAGCAGGCATGGTGGTGGGAACCTGTATTCTCAGCTACTCGGGAGGCTGAGGCAGGAGGTTAGCTTGAACCCGGGAGGCGGAGGCTGCAGTGAGCCAAGATGATGCCATTGCACTCCAGTCTGGGCAACAGAGTGAGACTCTGTCTCAGAAAAAAAGAAAAGACAACTTGTTAATCCTCATCAGTTTTTTATATTCTTCTGTGAATGTGTCAGATTATTTTGTAGGAGGAGGTTTTGCTTAGAGAGTGGGAGGGTAGCAGCAGAAGGTACAACTGAGGTCGGGGGAAGGATTCCAATAGAAGACACTAGGAAGGCCAAAGAACAAATTCAGAACTAAATTTTGCCTAGCTATTTGAGTTGAAAAAATATTTGGATAAACAAGTCATACCAGCTTCTCTCATCCTGTGAATGATCCAGAAGATTAGATAGCACAATTTTACATTTTTACTCTTGGCTAGGAAATCACAACTGGGAGTCACTACCTTTCTAAGCTTTGGGTGTCTTCAGCCATAAGATGAAGGAATTCACTGAAATGACTTTTGTTCCCAGCACTGAGATGATAATGACACTGTTTAAGGCAAGCTAAATACCCTCAAGGCACACTCACTTAAGAGTCCCAAATTAAAGTTGCTATAAAACAGCATCTCCCAGCCTTCATCTCTGCTGCTCTAAGCACCAAGAGGTAGACAGTGTAGAGGCGAGACTTGTGAGCTTCCTTTAATACTTAGGCTGCTCTGCTAAGATGGAGTTGCCCTAGGGAACATTTTATTGACTCCCACAGAGAGCCCTGAATTAAACAGCTTCTTAGTAAACACCTATAGATGGATTTCAACCTCAGGGGGGTCTGATGCTCCAGATTTCTAACCTGTCACTAGATTTGCCTCCCACCCTGGGCATTCTCTCCTTAAGTTTCCTGGAAGCCTTCCCCACTCCCCGAGGCAGGGTAGGGGAGTATTTGGTTTTGGTTTGGGGCTTTTTGTTTTTTGGGGGGGAGGTTGAGACAGGGTCGTGCTCTGTCACCCATTCTGGAGTGTGGTGACAATCACAGATCACCTGCAGCACCAATCTCCTGGGCTCACCCTCCTGGGTAGCTGGGACAACAGGTGCACGCCACCACACCGGGCTAATTTTTGTATTTTTTTGTAGAGACAGTGTCTCACTTTGTTGCCCAGGCTGGTCTCAAACTCCTGGGCTCAAGCAATCTGCCTGCCTTGGCCTCCCAAAGTGCCTGGGATTACAGGCATGAGCCACAGCACTCAGCTCAGTACTTGGTTTTGGAAGAAAGAGGATAAATATAAATGATTTGGGGATCAGTGGATGGGGAAGAGCTGCCATACCCCACATCTGTGTGTAGCACCCTCCCCCCAGGTTCCTCACAGCTGTGGCTGCTATGTCCTAGGTCTTTGCTGTCTCTGGTCCAGCCTGGCTCTTCAGTTTTGTTAGGACTGCTGGACTCTGACCCCTCAGGCTAGATAGCAGGGACTACCCATCCTAGTGGACTTGTATCTTTCCATTGGTCCTATTCCTGAACCTGCAGTCCTGCCAGCTGATTACCAGCCTCACCCATGCCCACATCCGCCTCCCTGTTGTTTACTCATCAGTGCACAAATACTTAGATTACCATCTTGCTCTGCCTGCAGCCAGACCCACCACCCCACTGTTGTCACTGGCTCACCTTGCAAGATTGGAGCAGAGAGAGAGATCTGAAAACCTCTCCTACACTCCCACGTGACACTGAACTCCGCTCTCCCACAAGAATGTATACTACTTCCATGATTTAAAAAATCAGCTGTAGTCGGGCGCGGTGGCTCACACCTGTAATCCCAGCACTTTGGGAGGCCAAGGCGGATGGATCACAAGGTCAGGAGATTGAGACCATCCTGGCTAGTGCAGTGAAACCCCGTCTCTACTAAAAATACAAAAAAATTAGCCGGGCGTGGTGGCGGGCGCCTGTAGTCCCAGCTACTTGGGAGGCTGAGGCAGGAGAATGGCGTGAACCCGGGAGGCAGAGCTTGCAGTGAGCCGAGATTTCGCCACTGAACTCCAGCCTGGGCGACAGAGCGAGACTCCGTCTCAAAAAAAAAAAAAAAAAAATCAGCTGTAAGCCGGGCAGGCGCAGTGGCTCATGCTTCTAATCCCAGCACTTTGGAAGGCTAAGGCGGGTGGATCACAAGGTCAAGAGATCGAGCCCATCCTGGCTAACATGGTGAAACCCCGTCTCTACTAAAAATACAAAAATTAGCCGGGCGTAGTGGCAGGCACCTATAATCCCAGCTACTCGGGAGGCTAAGGCAAGAGAATGGCGTGAACCCGGGAGGCGGAACTTGGAATGAGCCGAGATCACGCCACTGCACTCCAACCTGGATGACAGAGCAAGACTCTGTCTCAAAAATAAAGAAAAAAAAATAGTCGGCTGCAGGCCAGATACAGTGGCTCACGCCTGTAATCCCAGCACTTTGGGAAGTTGAGGTGAGTGGATCACCTGAGGTCAGGAGTTTGAGACCAACCTGACCAATCTGGTGAAACCCTGTCTCAACTAAAAATACAAAAACAAATTAGCCGGGTGTGGTGGCGCACGCCTGTAATCCCAGCTACGTGGGAAGTTGAGGCAGGAGAATTGCTTGAACCAGGGAGGCAGAGGTTGCAGTGAGCCAAGATCACACCATTGCACTCCATCCTGGGCAACAAGAGTGAAACCCCATCTCAAAAAACAAAACAAAAAAATCAGCCACAGGCCGGGTGCAGCATCTCATGCCTGTAATCCCAGCACTTTGGGAGGCAGAGGCAGGTGGATCACCTGAGGTCAGGAGTTGGAGACCAGCCTAGCCAATATGGTGAAACCCCATCTCTACTAAAAATACAAAAATTAGCCAGGCGTGATGGCATGCGCCTGTAGTCCCAAGCTACTAAGGAGGCTGAGACAGGAGAATTGCTTGAACTCAGGAAGTGGAGGTTACAGTGAACCAAGCTTGTGCCACTGCACTTCAGCCTGGGCAACAGAGACTCTGTCTCAAAAAAAAAAAAAAAAAACGCTACAGAAAACTGATTTTTAAAAAAGAATCTAAGCCTTCTTTGCTTCTACCATGATGGGGCTGTCTTGAGTCTGTCCATTTAAAATTAGCAATCCATTTCTGCCCTCCATCAATCCTCTGGTTCAATAACATTGGCTGCCCTCCTTTAGAAATACCTCCTTTATTGGCCAGGCGTGATGGCTTACGCTTGTAATAGCACTTTGGGAGTCCAAGGAGGGCAGATCACCTGAGGTCAGGAGTTTGAGACCAGCCTGGCTAACATGGGGAAACCCTGTCTCGACTAAAAATACTAAAATTAGACAGGCGTGGTGGTGTGTGGCTGTAATCCTACCTACTTGGAGGCTGAGGCAGGAGAATCACTTGAACCTGGGAGGCAGAGGTTGCAGTTAGCCGAGATCACGCCACTGCACTCCAGCCTGGGTGACAGAGCAAGACTCCATCTCAAAAAAAAAAAAGAAAGAAAGAAAGAAATACCTCCTTTATGCTGCATGGCGTGATGGTAACAGTGGGACTCCAAAGGCCTGGTTCTTGCTCTGGCTTTGCAACTAACTAGTAATGTTAGGCAAGTCACTTCATCTCTCTGGATCTCAGTTTTCTCAGGTGTAGAACAGGAGATAATAACAGCTTTCATTTGTAGAGTACTATGTACCAAGGGCTGGGCTTACCTTGTCATCATAGTGGGATCATCCCAATGTTACAGTGAGGACACATGTGCCTCCTAACCTCCCAGCAACCTCACAGATGAGAGAACCAGGAGAGAACACAGGAATGTGCTCTCTAAGGTAAAAGGCAGAATTGAAATTCTCTGGGAACAAAACACTTTATATTGAGTCGAAACCCTTAACAGACTTTGATGTTCTGAGAGAGAAACTAGATATCTCTCTTCTGTGATCCCTTGATTCATTTGTAAGACTACTTTTTGACTTATATAGAGTATATTATCTCTCCTCTCAATACCCCTAAGCTAGATTGGCAGCCTATTTTGGATCTTCATGAAGTGGGAATGAATATTAGAAATGTGTTCTTAGGCTGGGTGCAGTGGCTCACACCTGTAATTCCAACACTTTGGAAGGCTGAGATGGGAGGATCACTTGAGCCCAGAAAGTTGAGGCTGCAGTAAGCCATGATTGCAACAGCACTTCAGCCTGGGCAACAGAGTGAGACCCTATCTCAAGTTAAAAAAAAAGTTACCAGCCCCAAACTCCATTCCTTACACACACAAAAAAAAGTGTTTTGAACAAGCTCTTCTTGCTGTGCTAACCACAGTTACCGCATGGACCATGTGCTGATGAGTCTTAAATTCATATCTCTGCCCTGGTGTTCCTCTGAATTGCCTGCCCGCTGAACATGTATCTAAACCTCAAAGGATGTAGCTACCACTAAACTAAGCTCAGCCTGATCCAGTTTTCTGTCGTGCAGAATGATGCTATTTTCTCTTCTCTCATACTCTTTATCCAGTAATTACCAAATATCATTGATTTTACCTCCTAAATGTTTCTCTCCACCTCCTCCACCATGACCTATTCTAGATTCCCACCTACCTATCAGCCTGAGAGCAGCTACGCTGTCTCTCCTAACTGGTGTTCCTATGGCTGCTCTTGCCACCTTCCAGGCTTTTGTTCAATGAGCAGCTGTAATTATTATTATTTTTTTGTTTTGTTTTTTGAAATGGAGTTTCACTCTTGTCGTCCAGGCTGGAGTGCAATGGTGAAATCTCAGCTCACTGCAACCTCCACCTCCTGGGTTCAAGTGATTCTCCTGCCTCAGCATCCCAAGTACCTGGGATTATAGGCACAAGCCACCACGCCCGGCTATTTTTGTAATTTTAGTAGAGTTGGGGTTTCGCCATGTTGGCCAGGCTTGTCTCGAACACCTGACCTCCGGTGGTCCACATGCCTTGGCCTCTCAAAGTGCTGGGATTACAGGCATGAGCCACTGTGCCCAGCCCAGTGTAAGTCTGTCACTCTGCTACTTCAACCATAATGATACTCCCCTTCACTGCCAGGATACATGATATGATCCTTAACTTGGGGTAGAAGGCACTGCCAGTTCAGCCCTGCCTCCCTCCCTGGCTCTGCACACCACAGCCACTCTGGCTATCTTACAGTTTTGCCCCCATTTTTATTCCTTGCCTTTGGGCTTCATGTTAGCTGTCCCTTCTCCAGAACTAACTTACTTTGCCTCAATAATTCCTGTTTATCTTTCAGAAAGAAATCTCTAAATCAGGCTCCTCTTTGTAATACCTTTTTTTCTTTTTCTTTTTTTGAGACAGTCTCAGTTTGTTGCCCAGGGTGGAATGCAGTGGCATGATCTTGGCTCACTGCAACCTCCACCTTCCAGGTTCAAGCAATTCTCATGACTCAGCCTCCCAAGTAGCTAGGATTACAGGTGTACACCACCACACCTGGCTAATCGTTGTAGTTTTAGTAGAGATGGAGTTTCACATATTGGTCAGGCTGGTCTGAAACTCCTGACCTCAGGTGATCCACCCGCCTCAACCTCCCAAAGTGCTGGGATTACAGGCATGAGCCACTGCACCCGGCCCTATTTGTAATACTCTTCACAGCTCCTGTACTTCACTTTCTGGCACTTAACCCTTAAATTAAATAATAGTGTAACCAGGCTTCTCTGATCTCTCTCCTCCTGGGATATAAGCTGGTATGAAGGCAGGATCCCATCTGTCTTGTTCATCCCCAGCACCTAGTCACCTGTAGGGCCAAATCTGGGAGTCAACTATGGTGGTCCAACAAGTGGACTTATTTGTCCTCCTTTGAGGGTCTGACCTACCTCCTTCCTGCTGGGATCCACACCCTCGGGGAGCTCCTCTACAGGCTTGTTCACTAGCTGCTCCAGGGGGAAGATGGGCCGAGGCCCAGAACTGAGGTTGCTGTTAGCATTGAACACGTCCACTTTCGAGCTTGTGACCTCCTAGGAAAGAAAAGGAAACCACTGGTTACTTAGCTGGTGTGCAGCTACCTCCCAGGCTGCCTTTCTCTCTGAAGTCTCTAGGGCACCACCTTCCAAGAAGCCTTCCATGTCCCACCCCACCCTGCCACACATACACTCATAAGAACACAACATAGGCCGGGCGTGGTGGCTCACGCCTGTAATCCCAGCACTTTGGGAGGTTGAGGTGGGTGGATCACTTGAGGTCAGGAATTCAAGACCAGCCTGTCTAACATGGTGAAACCACGTCTCTACTGAAAATATAAAACTTAGCCAGGCATGGTGGTGGGCGCCTGTAATCCCTACTCAGGAGGCTGAAGTAGGAGAATCGTTTGAACCTGGGAGGTGGAGGTTGCAGTGAGCTGAGATCATGCCACTGCGCTCCGGCCTGGGCAACAGAGAGAGACTCCTCAAAAAAACAAAAAAAAAACAAAAAACACACACACACACAACATAGAGCTTAGTGGTCTGTTCTGACCAAAGTCCATTGGTGGTAAATGACCCTTTTCTTTAATGATTCATTAACTTTCCCATGGCTTCCCCCAGAGTTTGAGATCTAGCCTGGATATTTGTGACCCTGTCTCTCTTACCTCTTGTGAAATTGTCATCTATAAAGTCACTTAACCTTGACCTATCTATACGTGCCGGTCTGTACTGTCAGTCCACCAAGAAAGGTTTCGTGAGTGCCGTAAGTTTTGACCATCTGTTGATTATACCCCAGTGTGCTTGTGAACTTACTCTTGAATTCTGGACACATTCCTCAGAGTTAGCTCTGTCTTGTTCCCTCTGTAAGCCTGTGAACTTCTCAAAGCAAAGGTTTTGATTTCATATTCCCGTGTCCCAGGCCTAAAGGCTAAATACATTTCCTTTTTTGGGGGGTGGGGGGACTGCGGAGGGGCAGGGGTTTTTTTTGAGACAGGGTCTGACTCTGTTGCCCAGGCTGCAGTGCAGTGGCACAATTTCAGCTCACTGCAACCTCTATCTCCTGGGCTCAAACCAACCTCCCACCTCAGCGTCCTGAGTAGCTGGGACCACAGGCACATACCACCACTCCTGGCTGTTTTTTATTTTTTGTAAAGATGAGGTTTCCCCATGTTACCAAGACTAGTCTCAAACTCCTGGGCTCAAGCAATCCACCCTCCTCGGCCTCCCAAAGTGCTGAGATTACAGGCGTGAGCCGCTGCGCCTGGCCTAAATACATTTCTGTTAACTCACTGAAAGACCAAAGGAGTTGTAGTTATTCTACCTAGAGAAAGGACCCCAAGGGTGATGGTGTGTAGAGACAGCATTCTTTCTCAAAGTGTAGTCCATGGACTAACTACATGAAATTCCTTTTTAAAATAAGATTTAAAAGATGCAGATTCCTAGGTGCCAATTCTTAGTCTATAAACCAGAATATTTGGGAATGGGGCCTTGGAATCTGCATTTTAATATGCTTCCCCCTTACTCCCTGCCCCCAGTTCCCAGACTTTTATGCATGATAAAATCTGAGAACCAGGCCGGGCGTCATGGCTCATGCCTGCAATCCCAGCACTTTGGGAGGCCGAGGCTGGGGCATCACTTGAGGTCAGGAGTTTGAGACCAGCCTGGCCAACATGGTGAAACCTCGTCTCTACTAAAAATATAAAAATTAGCCAGGCATGGCAGCACACACCTGTAATCCCAGCTACTTGGGAGGTTGAGGCATGAGAATCACTTGAACCCGGGAGGTAGAGGTTGCAGTGAGCCGAGATCCTGCCACTGCACTCCAGCCTGGGGGCAGAGTGAAACTGTGTCTCAAAAAAAAAATTGAGAACCATTTCACTAGGAAATTGAGGAAACAAAACCACTAGAGGCACTGGAGTTAAACAGCAAGAAGAATGAGAAGTAGGGAGAAATAGGAGGGAAAGTACAGGACACTGGTGTCTTCTCTGCAGCATTCTTGGCTCCCACAGGTCTGACCACCAGCTGGCCACTGCAAGGCCCAGCCACCCTGCCCCGAACTCACAGCAGTGATCTGGCTCCAGTCCCTAGAGTTGCCAAGCTCCACCTTCAGGTCCTCATAGGATTTGGCGTTCTGCACATAAAGTAAATAACAGATTAGACCTGGATCTCAGCAGAGAAGATGGATGAGAAGCCGTTTTCCCTCAGGAATGGAAAGAAGGCTGGTCTGGGGCCTAGTGGTAAGAAAGGAAAGAGGATACACAGGCTGAGGCTGGAGGAGGGTCCCCGAAAAAGGAGATTAGGTGGTGAGGTTGGGACCAGAGGGGCTGCCAGATCAGAAAAGGGCAGGGCAGGCTATATTTGTCCCAGCTCAGCCTGACTTGGGGATGGGGAGGATCTTTTCCCACCTGCAAGGGCCAGGGCAAGAACCGCAGGCAGTGTGGAGAACCCTGCCTAGGTTATGTAGGCTCTGGGGAATGCAGGGCTCCTGGGGATGGGTGGGGGTCCCCCCAGATCCTAGAAGGGATCCCTGCCACAGAGGAGTGAAGGGACCATGGCTCTCTGAGGAGTCCCATCTCCATATCCTAGAGCACACTTATGCTGAATGAATGAATGAGTGAATGAGGCTGAGAGAGAAGCCAGCACACACTTGAGGTGAGGGAAGGGTGATAACTAAAGTGGACTGAGAAAACCTGGCATCTTGATATGCTGCCTTGAGTAAAAACTAAACTCAGCCCATCTAACTGCAGAATTTAAAAAACAAACCAACAGATTTAAGGAAATTAAGCTTTCTGCTTCCCTAAACCCATGTGTTGTGACAATTTAGAGCACCCAGAGCCACCAGGCCAGGCTTCACTCTACCTTGGCCTTCTTCCTACAGAAAACCTTTGCTGGAGTTCCATCCTGGGGATCTGCCCCTTGCTTCTATGTGGGGCCAGTTTAGGAAACGCCCCGTGGGAGCTTGGCACACCATCCCTCAGGTAAGGACCACATACATGACCCATTTTGCTTAGAATTTAGCACCAGGGGCCGGGCGCGGTGGCTCAAGCCTGTAATCCCAGCACTTTGGGAGGCCGAGACGGGCGGATCACAAGGTCAGGAGATGGAGATCATCCTGGCTAACATGGTGAAACCCCGTCTCTACTAAAAAATTCAAAAAATTAGCCGGGCGAGGTAGCGGGCGCCTGTAGTTCCAGCTACAGGAAGCTGTAGTTCCAGCTACAGGAAGCTGAGGCAGGAGAATGGCGTAAACCCGGGAGGTGGAGCTTGCAGTGAGCTGAGATCACGCCACTGCACCCCAGCCTGGGTGACAGAGCGAGACTCCATCTCAAAAAAAAAAAGAATTTAGCACCAGGAAGACATTTGTCAATTCTTTAGAACCAGCATGTTTCAGCTGGCACGGAGGATCCACCGTGTTGCTGCAATGATGAGAACATTCTCACCTGTGCTGCCCAACACAGTAGCTGGCAGCCACATGTGGCTAGTGACAAACTGAATTTTGAATTGTGTTTAATTTAAATAATCAGTACATTTCTTACCTATACTATCCAGCAACTTTGCTCTAAAAGTAGTGTGCAAACAAGGCACTGTAATTAGCCTTGATTTTTGATAGACTTCTTCCCTCTCACCAGGAAGCCTAATGGCCTTAGTGCAGCCTTACTTTCTATTCTAAGCCTCTTCTATCCCCTTTCTAAATCAGCAGGTCATACATCCCAAAGAGACAGAATGGCCTGCGGGAATCAGCACTGATCTCCAGGCAGGGCTAGAGAAGGACATGCTGGGATGAGGCCACTCACACTCCACTTAAAGGGATCCCAAGCCAGGAACCAGCCTGTGAAGGTGGGGGGCTCGTATCCCTGCTTCACCACAATGATGGGGGTCTCGGGGTCACGCCCGCTGGGATGGGTCTTGAGGTATTCCTGTGCGGTGATGGCTGCAGCCTTCTTCTCCTCCTCATTGGCATGTTTCCCAATCCAGAAGAAGACCTATTGAGAAATCCAGGAGATCAGTCCATCCTGCCTGTCCTCCCTGGCCCACAGGGCTCTGCCTCAGTTGTCCGACAGTGAAGCCCTGACTTTGACCCTGTCTCTACCACTACCAGCCAAATGACCTAGGGCAGGCACCATCTGGCCTTGAATTTGTATCTGCGAAATTAGAAGGTTGGACAGATGCCTTGTACTTGGATATTCTGCAAATGTGTGTCTCCCAGACTGTCCAAAGCCCAGGATTATCAAAAACACTCCTGCTCTCATGTGAAATAAATAGGACTTTGGGAGACAATATGCTCTTCCCTGAGCCTCTCTTGAGCACGTTACTCCCCACCTTCCTTCTTTCTTACACTTCTGGTGTTCATACCATTTCCAGGGAGAAATTATGTGAGGACCAAGAAAATGTTGACACTTACCTAACCTTAAAGCCACTCTTTCTTGGCCCTGGGGATTGAGGTGGCTGGGAAGAGGGGTCCCCAGGCCCTTGGTCCTACCTGGTCCCAGACATCTAGTAGGAACACGTCATCCTCTTCCAAGTCATCCTGATTGAAGTCAGGGATCTCTGTGGCCAGGAAGCGCCCAGTCTGGTTGGAACATTCAAAGAGCCGGGGGGTGATGACCAGGTTTTCTTCCTGTAGTCTGCAGGATGGAGAGAAGATTGTACTGGCAGAAGGAAGGTGTGGCAAAAGGAGATTGAAGACAGAACTCTGAGGAAGGGACTCTGGCATGGAAAGGTCATCTCCAGCAAAATGCTCTGTCTTCTGATTGATAAAAGTGTCCCCTCTAATTCCAAGAGTGCTCTGAGGGAGAAACTGTCACTGCTTTCTGGACATGCATTCCAGTGGCTTTTGCAGAGCCTTGTTAGGAAGTTCTTCCTGATATCTTCCCTCCATCCCTCCTGCTGCTACTACAGTACATGCCCTTTGCTTTTGAACTAGGGACCAGCGGATCATGGATATTCTCTAGAAAAACCATTTGAGCCAGGCACAGTGGCCCACGCCTGTAATCCTAGCACTCTGGGAGGCTGAGGCAGGTGGATCACCTGAGGTCAGGAGTTCGAGACCAGCCTGGCCAACATGGTGAAACCCCGCCTCTACTAAAATACAAAAATTGACCAGGCATGTTGGCAGGTGCCTGTAATCCCAGCTACCCAGGAGGCTGCAGCATGAGAATTGCTGGAACCTGGGAGGCGGAGGCAGAGGCTGCAGTGAGCTGAGATTGCGCCACTGCATTCCAGCCTGGGTGACAGAACGAGACTCTGTCACAAAAACAAAACAAAACCATTTGAAAGAGGGCTTGTGGCTGGTGCCCCTCAGCATCCCAGGCCTGTGTCAGGACCTAAAGGCAGGCTGGCCTCTGGCATCTTCTTACTGAAAGGCAAACCTCTAGCACTGCCCCTCGCTTTGAGCTGCCTCCTATGGCCAGGAATTCCCTTTGCCAAGGAAATACCCCACCAGGTCCCAGGCATACTATAGTGAGCAGCACAGACACAGCCCCTGACCAAGAGGCTCCAAGGGCATGGGCTGCCCTTGATTCATCTTGTATCCCTGGGGGCCTGGCACAGGGCCTGACACACAGTGTCCTTAGTCCATGCCTGCTGTAGGTTCTGAGTGTGGGGATGGAGATGCTGGGAGGCTCCCCCACCTTGGTAACCTGGAGGCAGAGGGACCTGAGAGTTAACCTCTTGGTGTTGGCGTAGGGGGCCTTCCCGCCTAGGGCCATCCAGAAGTTGGCTGGCTCCTGTCCTTCCACCACCACTTGCTTCTCCGTCCGGGAGATGGTGTCAGCAACCATCTTGGCCATCTCCCGCTCGTCTCCGCTACAGCCCTAGGAAAAAAAAGGGTTGGCCAATTTCTAGTGCCACCCCTATCTCCACCCTCCTACCACATTCACTACCCAGAGTTCCAGGGTCTAAAAGGGCTCTTCTGGGTCAGGACCCTGTGTACACAGGCCACACAGGGACAATTACATGCTCTCCTCTGTCCTTGACACTCCAAAGAATAGAAGAAACTAGAGAGTATTTTCAAGGGTCGAGAGGGACTCCAAGAGGCTATGCATTCTTCTTACAGAGATCAAAGGAGAGGCAGTGACAGGCTCAGGATAGTGAGACAGAGCCCAAGACATAAAGACAGACCAACACAGGGACAGATGAAGGTGGCCAGAGAAACAGAACAAGAGAGACTGACTCAGAGAGGCAGAGAATCTGAGGATGGTCATTGACGAGGCAGAAAGATAGACCCAGAGCTACTGAGGAGGGAGAGACTGGGCTCCAGAGGTGGCTGAGAACCGAGCAGGCACAACTTAGTTGGCCAGGGGTTCCTGCCCTCACCTAGGGCCTGCTGTGAAACTAGGGGACTGCCAGGACCCACTTGGGGATGGGGAGACCTCTAGGCCCTGAACACACACCTTCCCACACCATAGGTAGCAGCAGGACTGGGTCTTGAGGACAAAGACATCATTGGAATTGAGGAAATTGGCCCGCGCTGGGACCTCAAAGGCCTTTGTGTTGTTGGCGCCCGTTCCCTGGACCTGGAACAGTCGTGTGGAGGGCCCAGGCTCCAAGTTGTTAGCTCGGGAGGTGCCTCCCTGCAGGTGAGGGGAGAAGGCAGGGAGAGAGAGTCAGGAGTCACATAGTAAAGATGATGATGAAGGAACAGAGGGGCACAAAGAGAACCAGAGAGGGACAGGGTAGGGCAGGGCGGCTTGCCCCTGCAGCTCCTCTGATGCTCTGTCACCAGGTCTTTCTAAAACATTGCATCATGGCGCTTCTCTACTGAAAAACATTCAGTGACTCCCCGTTGCTTATAGCCTAAAACCCAGCTCCTCAACTTTGCCTTTGAAAGCCGCACATGACGAAGATGCAAACTGCCTTTGCAGACACTGCTGCCATCAAACCCTCCAGCTTAGCTCTGCCAGGTTTTTTTTTTTTTTTTTTTTTTTTTGAGACGGAGTTTTGCTCTTGTTGCCCAGGCTGGAGTGCAATGGCACTATCTCAGCTCACTGCATCTCGCCTCCCGGGTTCAAGCAATTCTGCCTCAGCCTCCTGGGTCGCTGGGATTATAGGCGCCCACCACCATGCCTGGCTAATTTTTGTATTTTTAGTAGAGACGGTTTCTCCACGTTGGTCAGGCCGGTCTGGAACTCACGACCTCAGGTGATCCGCCCACCTCGGCCTCCCAAAGTGCTGGGATTACAGACGTGAGCCACAGCACCTAGCCTTTTATTTATTTATTTTTTTCTTGAGACTGAATCTTGCTCTGTTGCCCAGGCTGGAGTGCAATGGTGTGATCCTGACTCACTGCCTCCCAGGTTCAAGCGATTCTCCTGCCCCAGCCTCCCCAGTAGCTGGGATTACAGGCACGCACCACCATGTTCAGCTAATTTTTGTGCTTTTAGTAGAGACAGGGTTTCACCACTTTGGCCAGGCTGGTCTTGAACTCCTGACCTCAGGTGATCCACCTGCCTCCACCTCCCAAAGTGCAGGATTACAGGCGTGAACCACCACACCTGGCCAGTTCTACCAGGCTTCTGATGTTCCCTACAGAGCCTCTCCCCCGGGCCTTTGTCCTTGCTGTGCCCCCTGCATTGTGTGCCCTCATTTTACCTCTGCTAAACTCTTCAACTCTGACCCAAATGTCAAGACAAATGTCTCCTCTAAATCCCCTCCTGCCCATAAACTCTATGACATTCCCAGATTATTGTACTCTGGCTCCTCTTTTGACTCAACTTTTACTTCTGGCATTTTTTTTTTTTTTTTTTTGAGACAGAGTCTCGCTCTGTTGCCCAGGCTGGAGTGCAGTGGCACAGTCTCGGCTCACTGCAACCTCCGCCTCCCAGGTTCAAGTGATTCTTCTGCCTCAGCCTCCCGAGTAGCTGGGACTACAGGTGCACGCCACCACGCCCAGCTAATTTTTGTATTTTTAGTAGAGACAGGGTTTCGCCCTATTGGTCAAGCTGGTCTCAAACTCCTGACCTCGTGATCCGCCCGCCTTGGCCTCCCAAAGTGTTGGGATTACAGGCGTGAGCCACTGTGCCTGGCCTACTTCTTGTATTTAACCACATAGTTCCTTAGACTGTTGGTTCACTGCTAATATGTCTGTCCTCTGCCAACAAGATGGCGAACTGTATTAGCATGCCATTCTTCTCCTTGCTTGGGGAATTGCAAAGGACTGTGTGTTTAAGGCACTCAATAGGCAGATTATTGCTTAAATGATTGCATGAGATGTCTGTTTCATTATGTTGGAAGGCACCAATGCAGTTTGCACAGGTGCATCATTTAAGCAAATCTAGCCAAAATATCTTCCTTTTTTATGTAAAGAATTCAAGGAGTTGGGGTGTAGAGGGCAAGCAGTACTTACACATGGTGAATGCGCATTACATGTTTTTGTTTTGTTTTGTTTTCTTGAGATGGAATTTCATTCTTGTTGCCCAGGCTGGAATGCAGTGGCACAGTCTCAGCTCACTGCAACATCTGCCTCCTGGTTTCAAGCAACTCTCCTGCCTCAGCCTCCCAAGTGGCTGGGATTACAGGCATGTACCACCATGCCCAGCTACTTTTTGTATTTAGTAGAGATGGGGTTTCGCCATGTTGGTTGGGCTGGTCTTGAACTGCTGACCTCAGGTGATCCACCCACTTCAGCCTCCCAAAGTACTGGGATTACAGGTGTGAGCCACTACACCCGGCCTTTTTTTTTTTTTTTTTTTTAAGACAGAGTCTCGCTCTGTTGCCCAGGCTGGAGTGCAATGGCATGATCTCAGCTCACTGCAACCTCCGCCTCCCAGGTTCAAGAGATTCTTCTGCCTCAGCCTCCTGAGTAGCTGAGATTACAGGCACCCACCATCATGCCTGGCTAATTTTTGTATTTTTGTAGAGACGGGTTTCACCATGTTGGCCAGGTTGGTCTTGAACTCCTGACCTCAGGTGATCTACCCACCTCAGACTCCAAAGTGCTGGGATTACAGGCATGAGCCACCATGCCTGGCCCAATTACACGTATTTCTAAAGTAACCAAATGGGTTATTTCTATTACCAGTTCCACATAGGTGATAGAACCTCCAGGGTAGTCTCCTATGAAGAATGGGCTTCACCCTAAGCCCTGCTCCCACCACCCATCCACTTCCCCATCTCCTGGATGCCTGTCTTGCCACAATGGGTACTGCCAGGCACCTCAGTTCAGCAGCCACACCTGGTATACCACCATGCGTCCCTTGAAGATGGACATAAGATGAGGCGGCTCCTTGCCCATTGGGACCCGGATCTGGACTGGTTCACCATTGTACTTCTGGTCCAGGATGACGGCTTGATAAGCTGATGCTGTAATTTCATCTTGGCTGGCCTGGCTGCCCTGGGGATGAGCAGGAGGGAGTGAATGGGATAGGGTCAGCCCCCAATTCTGACCCCATCCTCAGCCTCAACAACAACTCCATCCCCAAGTCTGACCTGGTCCTAAACCCAATTTTCTTCCCCACCAAACTCCACTGTGAAACAGCCAAAACCCCAATCTGACCCAGACCTCAGTTCTGATCTCAACCTCAAACAATTCTTTCGCAGACCCAGCCCAGCCCTGACCTACCTGCAACCCCAGCCTTAACCCCAAATCTCCTCCTTTCCTTACTGCTCCTTCTTCAGGGAAGCATCACAGGCACCACACCACTCACTCCTAGACACACTCCCTGCTCCCTCACATCTAGACACAAAATCCCACGGGCAGAGCAAGTGATAAGAATGTGCAGAAGGCAATGAAAATTGGAAGGGAGACTCAGAGAACCAAAAGGAAAAGCGCTGTGAATGGGGGTACTAGCTGGACCTCATAGCCAAAGCAGTCCTTCTTGAAGCGGTGAGATCCCCATCCCCAGAGGTATTCAACCCAAGGGTGATGGCCACTTAGCAGGAGTATGTACAAGGTGGAGCTAAGCCGGCTATGCTCTGGGTGGGATGTGGCGGGACCTGACCTGCCAGATGTAGAGCAGGTAGTGCTGCTTGTTTCCGATGAGGTAGGTGTAGAGCAGCAGGTAGCAGTCACCCCCATAGAAGTGGCCTAGCCACTTGGAATCCACAGGTACCAGCTCTAGGTTCTCAATGCGCCACACCTAGGGCCAGTATCAGGCCAGGGTGAGGTCCAGGAACAGGTTCCACCATCCCTGCTCCACCCAGCACAGGCCTCTCTGCCCTCACATACCTGCACTTCCCCACTCCCATCATCTACCATCTTCTGCTGGGCAGCCACCTGAGGCTTGACATGCATGGATGTGGCATCAAACTTCACCTGTTCCACTTTGGCTAGAGTAGGGGAAATCATGACACCAATTGTCACCAGCTGAGGCCCCCCAGGTCCTCACAACAGCCCTGAATGGTGGCTACAATTCTTAGACCCATTTTCAGATGAGGAAACCGAAGGAAGAGAGATTCAGTAGCTTACCTGGTTGCACAGAATGTGGCAGAGCTACAGTAGAGAACCATATCTCCCTCCTTCTAAAACTCCTGCTTCACCAGTGCCTCCCAGGGAGCCAAGAGAGGCATAAGAGCAAGGCTTTAGCTTTGTTGATCTACATCCTGACCCCTGCAGCATTCAGACTTCAAACCTTGACCTTGTCTCCCAGCTCAATAGGGAGCTCTGCAATGATGGAGGCTGTACACTATTATTTCTCCTCTCCTAGGTGCCGGGCACCGAGCTTGCCCTCAGCAAATACTGGCGGGTAAGAGACTGAGCTGTTTGGTTTCCAGGGAGGCCCAACCCCTTCCCAAATGAAACATCACATCACTCTCAGCTCCCTTTTTTTTCTTTTTTTTTTTTTTTTTTTGTTTTGGGTTTTACTCTTTTTGTCCCGGGTTGGGGTGATATGGACGGTCTTTGTTGTCTGCAACATCCACCTCCCAAACTCAAGCAATTCTCCTGCCCCGCCCCCTGGGGAGGGGGGGGTTACGGGCAGCCCCCACCATGCTTGGCTAATTTTTTTTTTTTTCAGTACAGACCGGGTTTCACCATGTTAGGCTAGTCTCGAACTCCTGACCTCAGGTGGTCCACCTGCCTCAGCCACCCAAAGTGCTGGGAATACAGGCATGTGCCACCACGCCCAGCCCTCTCGGCTCCCTTTTTGTGACAACTAGAGTTTGTCCATGTCTCCACCCGCTAGGATAAGCCCAGAGCCGATGTAAAAGTCTTCGTGGAAGATGCATGTCAGGGAAGGAGGGTGGGTGGTGGACCAAGTGGCTCTCCTGGCCCAGCTCCTGGATCCTGGCTCCCTCACTGCCCCATGACTGGCCCTCACCCACGGAGCCCACAGTGTGGGTTTTGCTCAGGCCTGAAGTCCGGTTGGATGCTGTCCACTTCTGGAATAGCTGCTGAAAGACGGCCGACTCAGCCCCATCATTCTGCACCTCCACCTGTGTGCTTGGTGGGTACTGCTTGGCTTTGATGAAGTTCTGGGAAGAGAAAGGGCTGGAAGCTATGCCCCTCCCCTAGTCCCCACTCCCAGTGCAAGCCAAAACCTGGCTCTAACCTAACCAGATCCACCATCAGATCTACCCCTGGCACCAAAACTGAACCCAAACCCAATCCCAATGCTAATCCCCAACCTAACCCTACTCTGACCCCCCAGCATCAAGGTCAAATCTGATACCGCCTGAAACCTAACACTGGCCTCAAGACTCACTCTGACCTCAACCTCAAATCTAATACCCAAACACAACTCTGACCCCAATCCCAAAGCCAAATCTAACTCCTAAGGTGACCCTACCTCAATGCTAATCCTAATGCCCAGTCCTCAATCCAACACTGGCACTGGCCCCAAGCCAGTTAGGGTTATGGCTCCAGCCCCAGCAATGACCCCAAACTCTGACTTGGTCCTGGTCTGAGCTGACCCAATCCCCTTCTGTAGGAAGCCAGCCTCCTTCCATTTCTCCTTCCCTTCTCTAAACTCAGCTCAGGTGCAGGGAGTTGAGAGCCCATATCCTGAGGTGGCCCCAGGGTTGTCTGGTGGTTGACTCCCTGGTGTGCAGAGAACCCCCAAGATGACTACAGAATGGCCCCTCAGGCCCCTCCCATTGGGCCGTGCCCAGCCCTCATCCTGCCGCTCCCAGCCTCCCCTGCCTCTGCCTGGCGCTATGCCCTGGTCTGAGCCTGCCTGCCCATCCCATGCAGCTATCTGCTCTCCCTCCCATCACTCTGCCCTCCTCCTGGATCCCCACCCCTACCAGGGCATGGCTCATGGCTCCCTTCTTCTCCTGCTCATTGGCTTTCTTCCCCTTCCATACATAGATCTTCAGGCCCCCCTGGTCCAGGATGTAACAGTCCTAGAGTCGGGAGAGGTAAGAGTCTGATGGAGCTGGAAGTGCTGGACTGGGACAGCCTCACACACAAAAAGAGTCTCTCCCTCCCATGCCCACCCCAAGCCCCCTGGAATTTTTCTGGCTTGAGGGAGAGGGGCCAGGCTGCAATGGGCTGGGGGGTCTCCAGACCCTCTCACCTCGTGACTGAGCAGGTCCTGCGTCAGCGGCCGCGTGGCGACTTCCCTCACCACCAGATTCCCCTCAGCGTCAGACACACTGCAGGACAGAAGCAAGGCATAGATGGAGAGGGGCCCCAAGCCCCTCAGCCAGGGCACCTGCTCCCAGGGAGTCCCCAGCACCCAGGAAGACCCCACTGGGCACTTACTGGTACAGTTTGAGTGCAGCCTTGAGTGCCGGCTCCACCACTGTGTCGGGCACAGCTGCCTTCAGCTCCCCGCGCTTGCCTAGCACATGGTTCATCACCTCCATCAGCTTCGGGGATGCCGATTCATTCTCTCCGTCCACCACGCCTACATAGGTGCGCCCTCCCCGCTCCTGGTCTCGGATCTCCTTGGCCAGAGTCATGCCCTGCAGGAAGGCCCCTGGTGACCCATCGGGAGTAGTAGGGGAACAAGGCAGTGTCTGCCACCCCACACCCTGCCAGGCAAGCCCAGACCACCTACAGCAGCAGCCACAGGGGTTGAGACCCCTGCCCTGCTTTTCCCTGTCGGAGGGGTCAAGCTTTTAAGGCATGTAAGGAAACCAGGGAGAAGGCAGCTGGGAAAGCAGATTTCCCCACCGTCAGGAAGGTGCTCAAGCGGGCTTGCTGGGCTTTCTGTTCTGACAGTGTGGGAAATGTGTGCTTAGACTTCACAGTTCCAGACAACAGCTGAGCCCCAAGGATCACAGTACTCAATCTCTTCCGCCGGGTGCGGTGGCTCACACCTGTAATCCCAACTCTCTGGGAGGCCGAGGCGGATGGATCACCTGAGGTCAGGAGTTCAAGACCAGCCTGGCCATGGTGAAACCCCGTCTCTACTAAAAACACAAAAAAATTAGCTGGGCATGGTAGTGCACGCCTATAATCCCAGCTACTCAGGAGGCTGAGGCAGGAGAATCACTTGAACCCAGAAGGTGGAGGTTTCAGTGAGCTGAGATCATGCCATTGCACTCCAGCCTGGGCAAAAAGAGCAAAACTGCATCTCAAAAAAAAAAAAAAAAAAAAAAAAAAAATCTCTTTGCCCCCAAACACGCTTGCAGCCTCACAGTGCACACACAGCGTCAATGTGCTGTGAGTATGTGAGTATAAACACACATATGCCCATGCCCATTTCATTCACCACTGGATCACCAAGGCTTAGCACAGGCTCTGCCACACTGTAGAGACTCATTCTATCTGAGTGGATTGACCACAAGTTCTCACACACTAACTCCAACATGCACACCTGCCCCAAACACATGGAGAGTGATCCACCTTCAAACACTGTCCCCAATAGTCAGTGGGGAGAGGCCTGGGGAAAGGAGCAGGTGGGGGTAGTCGAGGATTTGAGAGGGAGGTGTGGTACTTGGGAAGGTTTACCCTGAGTCTCTCCATGCGGTTACTTTCAGGTCCATTCCACTGGATGATAAGCTTCCCGAGGTCCAGGAGGAAAACATCCCCTCGGTTGAAACTCTTCCAGGACATCTCTACCTAGGGAGCCACGAGGGAAGTGCAGACCCCACTCAGAGCTCACCTATCATCCATCATCTTGGCCACCCCTTCTTGCCCCTCACCCCTCCTCAGCCCCTGCCCTCCGCCCTGGGCCTCACAGCCCTGGCCGATGCTCCAGTGAGGCCTGCCTACCTCTCCAGCTACCACGTTCCTCTTGCCCTTGACATGCAGCAGTCTCTGGACATCATAGGAGTTGGTCTCCACATGTTTCATGCCAGAAGCCACGCCTCCTTTCCGGATCCTGAGAAGAGGTGAGCAGACCCAGGGGAGTGGGCTGGGAGGTGTGCCTGGCCCCTGTTCTCCCAGGTCCTGGCTGCTACGCTGAGGTCACCTGAGGGCCAGGCTGGGAGTAGGCGAGGTGAATGAGGTGCTGAGGATGCAAACTTTAGGGAGTCACTCACTGTCAGGTCCTGAAAGTGTAAGGTCGGCCTGTGGCATGCCCCTGAACCACCCTGACAGTCAGAGCAACCTTAAAGTCTGCACCCTAGATCTTCACTCATCTCGCCCTAGCCCCTGCCCTGTGGAGAGGCCTGCAAAGAAGGGTCATGATATATGAAGAGTAGGAAATGTATTAATAGGCCAGGTTCGGTGACTCCTGCCTATAATCCCAGCACTTTGGGAGGCCGAGGTGGGCAGATCATTTGAGGTCAGGAGTTACAGACCAGCCTGGCCAACATGGTGAAACCCTGTCTCTACTAAAAATACAAGTTAGCTGGGCATGGTGGCGGGTGCCTGTAATCACAACTACTCAGGAGGCTGAGAAAGAAGAATCGTTTGAACCCCGGGGGCGGAGGTTTGCGGTGAGCCGAGATCACGCCACTGCACTCCAGCCTGGGCGACAGAGTGAGACTCCATCTCAAAAAAAAAAAGGAAATGTATTAATAAATAGGGACAGAATCCTGAGGACAGGGGATCAAACTGGAAGAAAAAACAAGAAGGGAGAGGTGCCACTCCAGTGCCCACGGGAGTGGACTACTGCTGTAGTGTGGGAAGAGAAGAGCAAGACAAAAAAGAAGAATAGGAACTGTGGCTAATTAGAGAGCCCCCGGCCTGTCCTACAGGTCAGTAACAACTCAGCTCCAGAGTGTGTGTTTTCCTGGGGAAAGCTAAGCTAGAACTTCAACTTGTACGAAAAGCCAGCAGTCTGGTCTGGGAGTGGTAGCTCATGCCTGTAATCCCAGGACTTTAGGAGGCTGAGGTGGGAGAATCACTTGAGCCCAGGAGTTTGAGACCAGCCTGGGCAACAGAGCAAGACCTTCATCTCTACAAAATATATATATTAAAAAATTAGCTGGGCGTGGTGGCGTGGTGGCTCAGGCCTGTGGTCCCAGTTACTCAAGAGGCTAAGGTGGGGCCGGGCGCAGTGGCTCACACCTATAATCCCAGCACTTTGGGAGGCCGAGGCGGATGGATCACTTGAGGTCAGGAGTTCGAGATCAGCCTGCCTATGGTGAAACCCTGTCTCTACTAAAAATACAAAAATTAGCCAGGCCTGGTGGTGTGCGCCTGTAATCCCAGCTACTGGGGAGGCTGAGGCACGAGAATTGCTTGAGCCCAGGAGGCGGAGGTTGCAGTGAGCCAAGACTTTGCCACTGTGCCACTGTACTCCAGCCTGGGCAATAAAGCAAGACTCCATCTCGAAAAAAAAAAGGAAGAAAAAGAAAAGCTGGGCCGGGCGCGGTGGCTCAAGCCTGTAATCCCAGCACTTTGGGAGGCCGAGACGGGCGGATCACGAGGTCAGGAGATCGAGACCATCCTGGCTAACACAGTGAAACCCCGTCTCTACTAAAAAATACAAAAAACTAGCCGGGCAAGGTGGCGGCGCCTGTAGTCCCAGCTACTCGGGAGGCTGAGGCGGGAGAATGGCGCAAACCCGGGAGGCGGAGCTTGCAGTGAGCTGAGATCCGGCCACTGCACTCCAGTCTGGGCGACAGCGCGAGACTCCCTCTCCAAAAAAAAAAAAAAAAAAAAAAAAAAGAAAAGCTGGCAGTCTTGGTTTTTAGTGTGGTAGGCCTGCATTAGAGACGGGGAAGCAGCCATTTGTCTGTTGGCCAGAGTTGGGCGATTAGGCACTGAGCTCTCCAGGACATTCAAGTGGGAGCTAATGTACAGAGATTCACAAGAGTTACAGATTTTCAGAACAGCCTCCAGACCAAGGACAGAGCAGTGGCAGAAATAAGAGTTGGGGAGTGGAAAATTGAAGGACAATCACCAAAAACTCATGAGGGTCCCCCTCATGCCTCCCCCCACAGTTCCAGGGTCCCTTCCCCGTCCCAAGTCACCTCCCCCTGCTCCAAGTGTTCTTCCCAGACCCGAACAGGTCTGGGTGTCCCTGCCTCTTCAGTTCAGCCCCAACCTCTCCATCCCTACCACTCATCCTCATTCCCTCAGCCTGCAGCCCGCCCTCCCTACACAAGGCCTTGCTTGAAGTAGCCTCGGAAGGCCTCGCTCTCGTTGCCCTGGACCTCGCGGTGCTGCACAGCCCGGCCCTTCAGGAAGTCATCCATTTGTGTGGTGTAGATGGCAGCTGCCCCCTGCTCATCCAGGGATGAGTCCTGGCCAATCCAGTAGTGGATGTCATAGGACAGGTTGCTGGCTGTCTTGTGGATCTAGGGAAAAGGTGTCCAGTGTACCCGAGACCCTGGGCTCCCACAGCCCCTCCCGCTCTGTGTGACCTCCCACACACGTGCCGTCCAGGACCATGGGGGAGCGTGGCACATGGCAAGTGCACTAGGCTAGCTGTTAGGGGCCCTGAGTCATGGCCCAGCTCTACCATTGACTCTCCGAGACATGGCTTCTCCTCTCCAGGCCTCACTTGCCTCACCTCAGAAACAACTTGCTTATGCCAGGCACAGTGGCTCACGCCTGTAATCCCAGCACTTTGGGAGGTCAAGGCGGGCGAATCACCAGGAGTTCAAGACCAGCCTGGTCAACATGGCAAAACGCTGTCTTTAATAAAAATATAAAAATTAGCCAGGTGGGGTGGCGGGTGCCTATAATCCCAGCTACTCGGGAGGCTGAGACACGAGAATCACTTGAACCCAGGAGGCAGAGGTTGCAGTGAGCCAAGATCGTGCCACTGCACTCCAGCCTGGGCGACAGAGCGAGACTATCTAAAAGAATAATAATAATAAATACATAAAATAAAAATTTAAAATGAGTCAATATAAAGAAAAAAATACAAATGTCTTAATAGTACAGGTGGTACCAGGGTATGGTGAAAATCAAGGTGATATGAAGATGACTACGAGGCTGGGCATGGTGGCTCATGCCTGTAATCCCAGCATTTTGGGAGGCGGAGGCAGGTGGATCACCTGAGGTCAGGAGTTCAAGACCAGCCTAACCAACATGGTGAAACCCCGTCTCTACTAAAAAATGCAAAAAAATTAGCTGATTGTGGTGGCATGTGCCTGTAGTTAAAGCTACTCTCAAGGCTAAGGCAGGAGAATCGCTTGAACTTGGGAAGTGGAGGTTGCAGTGAGGCAAGGTCGCACCACTGCACTCCAACCTGGGCAACAGAGCGAGACTCCATCTCGCTCTGTTTAATTTTAAAAATTAAAATTAAAATTTTAAATTTAAAATTTAAAAAAAATTTTAAAGAAAGAAGATGACTATGGATTTTGGAAATGTGGACTCAAGTTAGGGTGATATGGCAACAATGCAGAAGTTTCCCCAAGAATGTGAATCCACAGAAATTGGCCTTAGCTGGAAGCCCAGTGGATCGAGGGCAGCAAGAGCCTCTGACCTCTGTAAAGCCACCACAAGGTTGGGCACTTGGGCGTACCCAGTAAATTCTGTCTTGGGGTGAAGCCAGGCCAGCTCTCCCCATGGTCCCCAGCCTGTTTCCTCCCTGACACCACAGTGGGTTTTGCTCTCTGCTCAGCCTCCTCCTCTGCCCCTGACTCACAGCCAGGATGATGTAGCAGTCACCATCGAAGAAGCTCCCAAAGGTGCTGGAAGGAACAGGCACCATCTGCATGGCCTAAGGAGAGAAAAGGGGTCAGAGGGGCTGCCGTGGACCACCAGGACCCCTAGGCCTGGGAGGAGGAGGGCCCAGGGAAGGAGGCATCGGAAAAAAAGAGCCGGGCCCAGGAATGAAAGGAGAGAAAAGGAAGAGAGAGGGAAACTGTGTGAGGGGCGGGAGAAGGAAAATCAATGGTGGGAAAGGAAGGGATGAGTGAGGAAGAGGAAGTGGAGAGGAAGGTTGAGAGACAGAGGGAGAAGAAATGGAGAAAGGGAAAGGGAGACCATCCGGGGTGTGGATGATGCGGGAGTTGAGGGGCTGAGCTCTCAGAGGCTGCAGGGCAGGAGCAGAGGAAACTAAGAGAAATCCCAGGCCTCTGCCTTGCCTCCCTCCGCCCCAGGCCTGCGAGGCCCCCATGCCCAGACAGGGCCTCACCTCGATCCTCCATATCTGCAGCCCCGGGGTGGTGATGTTGAGAGAGCCTTTGACTTGGGCGCTCAACTTGGTCATGGTGAGTGAGCCTGGGGGAGAAGGCATTGGGAGCAGGGGCACCCTCAGTTCGGATGCTGCCCTTCCAGTCTGCCCCTAGAGAACTCCCAACAGTGCCAGGAGGTCGCAGGCTCAGGGGCCTGGGGGAGCATAGAGGGTTACTCCCCACTCAGTGACCATTTCTGCTTGTTTAGTACCAAATCCGCAGTGTCTAGCATAGTGACTTTGCTCGATAAAGGAAGAGATGGGGAGGGAAGGAGTGAGGGATGGATGAATGAATGACTTAATGGATGAACAGAGTGAACCCTCCCACTGTGAACCACTCTCTGCTCACTAAACTGGAAGGAATGCCCCTCCCCAAGCTTTTCTCCTCACGTCAGCCCTTTCTCCATTTTTTTTTTTTTTTTCCTTTTCTTTTTGAGATGGAGTCCCGCTCTGTCGCACAGGCTGGAGTGCAGTATCGTGATCTCAGCTCACTGCAATCTCTGCCTCCCAGGTTCAAGTGATTCTCCTGCCTCAGCCTCCCGCATAGCTGGGATTACAGGCATGAGCCACCATGCCTAGCTAATTTTGTATTTTTAATAGAGACGGGGTTTCCCCATGTCGGCCAGGCTGGTCTCAAATTCCTGACCTCAGGTGATCCACCTGCCACAGCCTCCCAAAGTGCTGGGATTACAGGCGTGAGCCACCGTGCCCGACCAGCCCTTTCTGCTTGGACCTGTAGCTGTGTTCACTCCAGCTGTTCATGAGCCTCACCTGGGGAGCTTCTGAACGTGCTGATGCTCCAGGCTCCGGCGGCATCCCTGGGGATTCTGATTTAATTAGGCCAGGGTGGGGCTGGGCATGGGTGCTTTACTTTCTGCCTTTTGGGAGGTGGAGCATGGGTGCTTTTAAAACTTTCCAGTGATTCTGATATGAGCCAGGGCAGACAGCCACTTGTGCCCAGTTATTCTCCTCCCTAGTTTTAAGGCTCCTCCTCACCAGGCCAGAGGCCACCCCGATCTCCATGGAGCCTATCACCCGGCCTGGCAGGGAGCTGCCCTCCATGAATGCTCCTTGAACTGATTAATGAATGAAAGGGCATGTGGCTGACAGGTCAGGCCTCCACTCGCTGACAGCCTGAAATCTCACTATCTAATCTCTCCTTGCACCTTGACTTTGAGTCACCTCTTAGTGACTTGGCCTTTTAGTACTTAGAAACTCCCTTTTCTGAGCCCTGAGGAGTGGCTGCTGCTTCCCTGGCATTCTAGAGTTTGAGGTAAGGCCCTGCCCAATATTTTGATCAGTGCCTCCTCTGGCTGATCATAAGCAGCTTGCTGTGTATCTGTAGGAGCCCCTTGGGCTTGGGTCCCATCTGATGGCCTGTTGGCTATGGCCTTCTCCATCAGGCAACCATGGTATCCTCCATCAGGTATTTTTCAACCCACCAAGTCCCCAGGGCTCCCAGGATTCCTGGTCCAGCAGAACCAAGTGGGGTATAAAGGAGGAGACCATTTTCTGTTTCATTTCTATCATCAACTTTGTCTCTGTCCCCTCCTTTCATCTATCTATCTATCTATCTATCTATCTATCTATCTATCTATCTATCTATCTTTTTGAGAAGGAGTTTCACTCTTGTTGCCCAGGCTGGAATGCAGGGGCGCTATCTCGGCTCACTGCAACCTCCGCCTTCCGGGTTCAAGTGATTCTCCTGCCTCAGCCTCCCAAGTAGCTGGGATTACAGGCGCAAGCCACCAAGCCCAGCTAATTTTTGTATTTTTAGTAGAGACAGGGTTTCACCATGTTGGCCAGGCTGGTCTTGAACTCCTGACCTCAGGTGATCCACCCACCTCAGCCTCATAAAGTGCTGGGATTACACGCATGAGCCACCTTGCCTGGCCCCGTCCCCCTTTTTCTTTGACACTCACTAGCTGTATGAACGTGGACTTCCCTTCTTCATCTATGAGCTGAGGGAGTCAACTTAGGGGGTCAACTAAATTGATGATCTCTAAAGTCTCACCCAGGGACATGCTGATTCCAGGGGTAACTGGCAGCAAGAGAAATAGAGGGTGGACATAAGGAGGCACTTCTTGCTCATCAGAGGGGGGATTCAGGGCAGCAGGGACTTGAAAAAAACAGTGCTCCCCCTCCCCAGAGAGAAATCAGGATTAGCCAGCCCCCACAGGCCACAGGTGGGCAAGGGGACTCAGGAGTGGCAGCTCTGAGACATGGCCCCCCTACCTGGTGTATACCCTCCAGCTGCTCCTGCCCTGTACCCATGGTTGGTCAGAACAGATGCTTCTCCTCCACCCCTTGGTAGGGCCTCTTCCTCACTTCTCCTGTCTTCCCTGAACTGCCAGGAAGACCAGGGCCTCTCACTTCCCCCAACCCTGCCACCATGGGCCCTTGTTTGGATTTGAGTTGTCTCCTCCTTCAGCCTGAATTCACTGACTTCCTCAACTCCTGGTACTTTCCCTTCTGTGTCCCCAGACCAGGGAAGGGCACCGTCACCCCAAGACCCCAACACCAGCCATCCGTGCAGCATCCTGGACTCCTTTTGCTTCTGCCCTTCTGTCCACCTAAACTCCCTTGAGTCTCCCCACTACACACAGCCCCCTGGCCCCTCTCTGCTGGCACTCTGCCCTCTAGAAATGCCACGCTGCCGGCAGGCCCCACCCCCATGCTGCCTCTCACCCCACGCCTGCTCGCACTGCTCCCACATGGAACGTTCTCCCCACCTTTCCCATACTAACATGCTCTTCTAGGCTCAAGTTAGATCTCATTTCTTCCAGGAGACCTTCCCAGAATCCTCAGGCTGGACAAGGAGCCCCTCGGCATCCTGGACTGTCCCCTCTCTTGACCTCCTGACCACATGGTGATGAAAGAACCTGTTTGTAAGTTTGAGGTCCCTGAGCTCCAAGACCTAGATATGTTTGTCTTTGTAGCCCCCAGCTCCTAGCACATAGTAGGTGCTCAACAAATACTCATGATGCTGAAAGGCTGAACTGTGGGATGGAAGGAGGACCCTCCCAGGGCGTTGGAGGGGTTTGGGCTCCTACTGTCTGCAGGCCATCCAGGCCATCTTGTGTTTCTTTCTTTTTTTTTTTTTTTTTTGAGACAGAGTCTCACTGTGTTGCCCAGGCTGGAGTGCAATGGTGTGATCCTGGCTCACTGTTATCTCCGCCTCTGGGTTCAAGTGATTTTCATGCCTCAGCCTCCTGGGTAGCTGGGACTATAGGTGTGCGCCACCACGCCCGGCTAATTATGTATTTTTAGTAGAAACTGGGTTTCGCTATGTTGGTCAGGCTGGTCTTGAACTCCTGACCTCAAGTGATCCACCCACCTCAGCCTCCCAAAGTGCTAGGATTCCAGGCATGAGCCGCTGCGCCCAGCCCACCTTGACTTTCTTATCTGAGCCCTATTGTACTCAAGGTGTGGCTCTGTTGTATGTGGGGTGCTGCCATGGCCCCTAGTTCCCAGTGGTGCAGCTCTGAGCTAGACAGGAATGTGGTGGGGTAGTGGAGGTAAAATCCCACCCCTCAGACAAAAGACATCCTCCTGCTTCCCAGGCTTGTGATAGCAGAGGGAATAGACACCCACCCAAACCCTCCAGCCCAAAGGCTCTGCCCCTCAGTGGCCTGCAGGAGGCCCCAGCAGATGATGTCCCGAGAAGACAGTAGCCAGTGTGTCCTCAGAGCCTGGTCTGCACCTGGCCGCCATCCCTAGTTCTGCTAAATGGGCCCACAGTGGCTGGGGAGGCTGATGGGGCAGCTCCAGGTAGAGGGAAGATGGGGCAGAGGTGCATGCTCAGGTGTCCTGGCATGGCCCAGGACCTAAGGCCCTGCCACCTCTAGCCCCTTGCCTCTGCCTTTGCCTCTGTCTTTGCCCATTCAATTTCTCGTGGCTGTGGCTCCTATGCTAGGAGCGAGGAGGCAGGGCCCTGAGGTCCCAGGAGTGTCAGAGGAATGGTGACACAAAGAATAAAACACTCCAGATGAAGAAGAAATGGGCAAAGAGATGAGCTGGTGGGGAGGGGGCTTGGGGAGTGAGGTCAGGGAGACTAACTAGTCCCGGTCTGCCCAGGACTGTCCTGGTTTTAACTCTAGAAGTTCCAGGGCAATTGGGATGGTGACACCCAAAGTGGGATGGGGCTAGCCACAGGTAGGAGACTGAGAGAGCCATTGCCTGGGGCAGGGCCAGCAAAAGTCTCTCCCTGGAGGCCCAGGACAGACACGCGGGGCTCCCAGCACTTCTCACACTATCCAGAGTGCCAAGCCTCCCTCTCAAGCCCATACCAAGGTGCTCCAGGAGGCCCCAAGTTGCCTGAGAAAAGCAGAGGACCCCATCCCCTCACACCATCTAAGGTCTCCATGTGTTCCCACCAGGTTGCCTTACCTGTCTTGGGGAGGCAGCTGCCACCTGGGAGATCTCAGGGAATTGTGGCAAGCTGGCTGCAGAAGAGCGACCTTTGTCCCCACCCCCACCCCCTAGGAACTGCCTTCACCATATAAGGGAAGATAGGGCCCCAGAGAGGTGAGGGGGTGGGGAGGCAGGTGCTGCCAGGTCCCTGGAGCCCAGAGCCCTTGACAGCCTGACAACGAGAGCTGATGTGCCCCACCCTTGGCTTTTTTTTTTTTTTAAGCCTCACTCTGTCATCAGGCTGGAGTGCAGTGGTGCGAACTCAACTCACTGCAACCTCTGCCTCCCAAGTCCAGGTGATTCTCCTGCCTCAGCTTCCCAAGTAACTGGGACTACAGACATGTGCCACCATGCCTGGTTAATTTTTGTATATTTAGCAGATAGGGTTTCACCATGTTGGCCAGGCTGGTCTTGAACTCCTGACCTCAAATGATCCAGCCGCCTCAACCTCCCAAAGTACTGGTATTACAGGTGTGAGCCACTGCGCCCAGCCCCTCCCTTGGCTTCTGAGTGAGCAAGGGATGGGGTGCTTTTCTGCCCAGAGCCCAGGACCTCACCACAGGCAGACAGCACTGTCCAGGCAAGGTCAGTGGCGCCTGAACTTTCCCCCTACCAACCAAGAGAAGGAGGCTCAGCTGTCCTCCCACCTTCCCTGGGGTGAATGGTTCACGGGGAAGGAGAGGCAGGACCCTGGGTTTCCAGAAGCCCCAAAC